TGAGCGCTTGGACCTAGCTGACTGCTCTTCCCAGCAGATCTCTCTTCCAACTTGTCCAAATCCCTGTCCTGAGTTGGAATCAAATGTACTTAGGCCATCCCCTAATCCATTGCTAATTACTTTATTTTTCTCTACCTATAAAGTGCTTGCTCTTCACTGGAGCCATGTAATAGGGGACCCCTACCCTTATTATTTATAAAGAGGGTCCTGTATCTTTAAGGATGCCAGCCCAGGGTGAAGGCCACACCTCCCACAGGGAATATATAAAAGGTCCACAGTGGCCAGGTGGTGAGGGAGAAAACAGCTTAGAGGTAGGAGTTTGGCTAGTGTAAATGCTGATCCGTATGTGTGGAGCCACAAGCAGGTATATTCTGTAGGTGAGTCAGGCTCCTAGGGACGGTGGTGCAGAGAACAAGAGGGCCTTGTTATGTATTGCACTTCAAGCTGCTCAAATGTTGATTGGTGTTAGCACTAGTGGAGTAGTCTTACCATAAAGCTAAAAACCTTCTCTGACTGTCCCCTACGTATACAGCTGTGAATTGCCATGGCAAGCAGGGGCCTGACTAGGAGGCTCAAGTAAGTTGCCACCACAAGGCTGGTGAGTCAGGACAGGTGCTATGTAGGGGTGTGTGAAAGATGGGTTGGCGGGGGGTATAAGAACATGAAGTGGGGAGGTGGAGAGTTGATGGGAGTGGGTAATGAAATGGGTGGTGGAAAGGAAATGGGGGTGGAGGAAGGATGCTGAAATGAAAGAAGTCAGCCACTGATGATAAAATAAGAATTCAAAAAGATGAAGTAAATTAAAGAAGTTCTCATGCTTTGATAAATTAGGAGTTAGGATTGCCATGTGGGCGTGCTGGTCATGCTTCCTGGGGTGGCTGGGAGTGTTGAGGGAAGGTGCTTTTGGGGGAGCTATTCCCCCGGCCCTGAGAAGGAAGCCCCAGCTCATGGAGACCTGATCTGGCCCTCTACCTTGTTCCCCCCTCCCCCCCACTCAAGACCCCATACCTGGACCTGCCAGTGCCTTATGACTTGGCTAGCTAGCATGTACTGTGGAGCCTGTTTGCATGGGATGCACCCCTGGGGGGGTGAGAAGGTCACACCATCTGGGGGTGGGAGGGAGAGTTGGCTTGGTGTCAGAATTGCCTCCTTGGCAATAGAGTTCAGGGGTGGAAAAGTTATCCACACAAAACAGAAGACTGGAGGAGGAACTCTACATCCTGTGATGATGGAGGACTGCAACTTGGGTGTCTCATCTGTGGGGAGTGGCCACATATTAATGGAACATGAGCTAGGTAACACAGATCAGAGATAAACCTGTCCTGGAGTGGTGTAATTTTAAGCTGCCTTAAGTGTGCTTAAAACTAGCCTTAGGTGTTAATGTGTGGACAATCCAGGGGTTAAGAGCCTCAGGAGCTGTCTAAAATGAATGGGTAGCAGGGTCCAACCCCTCTCCCTAGTCATGCTAAAGGCCTGTAGCCATTGGAAGAACAAGGTGTTGCAGACTAAGTCACAGGCTGTCAGACAGTTAGAAGAGCAGCCTGGACAAGTCACCCTCTGCAAGAGGACAGTGGTACACCCAAGGGCTACAGTTTGAGCGTCATCACAAGCCCATAGGATCTTTTGGTAGGAAAGGGAGGGAAGGAAGAGATGCTGAAGAATTGGCTGTTGATTAGCGGGACTCAGATGTCAGAAAAATCTTTCTGTGAGGGATCAAGAAAGGGAGAGATACTGAAAAACATGCTAAGTATAGGAAAAGAAAGGTGCATAGAAACAATGGTAGAAGAGGATAGAGATTGAAAGCTGTTAAGGGATTTAACATTCCCAAATGTAATGGTTTCACTTCTTCAGATCAAAGACACTGCCATGCTCCAGGAGTACTGTAACCCTTTGTTTCCATATAGGACATGTAGCTTGGTCCACTGTAACTCTATACCTTCCTGCCTGCTAACCTTGCCTCTGATGTTGTTCTGTGGATAAAATGCTTCAAGTCTCACTAACACAGAAGTCACACGTTGAAAACATAATGCATTCAGACAGGAAGAGAGAGCAGGTTGGAATGGTAAGGATTAATTTCTTATAGTGTGGGAAAATCTGCACTTCCTATGAAAAATTCCATTTGCTGAAATTGGATTTCACCTTAAATTCCTGAAAAAACTGTATTTTTTTGGCCAGCCTGGGCATCTTCTATCCCTTAATATCAGTTGTGAGAGATCCCAGGTGCAATAGGATTAGTGAAGTTGCACCCTGCAAGGGAGCCAATGAAATGAGTGAAAGAAGTAAATGGAACTCTGTCAAAGGCCAAAACTGAAAAGCTAAAGAGCTAACCTATGGGTATACTACCTAATTGGATGGTCTGAGACACTTCAGCCAGTCTGAGAAGTCCAACAGAGACCAGTAAAGTATTATTCCATTTTTAATATGGTAGATGCCCAATCTACTGTGGCATCTCATTTTTTTTCTATCTCAACTCCAAAAAGTGCAAGGTACTGCACCTTGGATAGAAAAACCCACAGCACGCTTATAGGCTTGGCAGCACTATGCTTGCTAGCACCATGGCTGAAAGGGACTTGGGGGTCATGATTGACCACAAGATGAATATGAGCCACCAATGTGATGTTGTAGCTGGCAAAGCGAGCAAAACTCTGGCTTGCATCCATAGATGCTTCTCCAGCAAATCCCAGGATGTCATTCT